GCGGTAGAGACACCCTCATCATTTTACAGGGCAGGGCCCCTATTTGCCTTAAGTGTTTCAGGCCCGGGCATATGAGGAAGGAGTGCCCTATGTCATCCATGGCTACGACTTCCTCATATGCTAACATAGTTAGCAATGTTCCGAGGTCTGTTGCCAATAGTACTAGTACTGTCAACAAGAAAACAGATTTTGTACCTGCTACGACTTTATTATCTGCAAATAACAGAGTGGATGATGAAGGATTTTTTACACCCAAAAATAGCGCAAAGAAGCGGTCATCATCCGAATCTGAAAATGTTTCTAATGCTATTGCTAACTCTTCCTCTTTGAGTTCTCGAACCAAAAAAGTTGCTTTACAGCCACCATCACCACCACCTAGAAAAGAAAAAAAGAAATCAAATATTAATAATAATAGTAATAATAATAAAAATAATAATAACAACAATAATAAATTAAAGTCTGCTGCTGCTGGGGCTAACACCCCTTCAGCAATTCCTATTATTACTCCTAAAGTAAAACCAGGCAAAATATCTTTATGTAAAGAACCCCCTCAGGACAGGGAATCCACTGCGACCCTGGCGGAATCCATGGACGCCATTGAAAACATCGCAGATACCCAACTTCTTAACGAGATGCTGGGTAGCATGACTCCCTGTCGATCCACCGACGGGGAGGGTTTTGGTTCGGAGGAGGAGTCTTGTGAAGACTCTCCAACTTGATTTTACTTACCTTACGTTTTTGACTTTCCTGCATATTTATCTTTTACTTACCTTTTTTGTTCTTACCTTTATTTCTCACTTCCGTCATGGACCTAGTGATTGTTTCCATAAACTGTAATGGTCTTTTAGGACCGAACAAAATCCATTATTTAAATAATTTATTACTTCTTGAACGTTTTGATATCGTTTTTCTTCAAGAAACACATGTTTCCGATATCAAAATCGCAAAATATTTTGAAAAGATACTTACATTTTACAAATGTTTTTGGTCCTTTGGATCTAATCGAAGTTGTGGTTCGGCCATTTTGGTTAGAACCTCACTCGATTTTACTGTTAATAAATTTCACTTTGATCTGCAGGGCCGTCTTGTGATCCTTGACATTTCAATAAATGATATATCCTTTAGATTTTTAAATATTTATTGCCCTAATAATCCTTCCAAAAGGAAAGATTTCGCATCTTCTTTGAGTCATCATCTCGTTTCATCTAGGCACATAGTCCTTGGTGGAGATTTTAACTTTATCCATGATAATGTTTTAGACAAGGTTGGTGGTAACCAATCTGTAACATCGTCTAGCGTGTCTGACTTTGATAACATTTTAACACCTTTTAGTTTCAAAGATATTTCAGGGGATCCTCAG